TTAACAAGGTTTAGAGTAGTCCATACAACACGATAAGAAGAATACTTGAAATCAAGGACAGGGCATAATATCTATGCAATGAAACAAAGTTGGAACATTTCATGAAGCACGAAAAGTTATAGATTAACATGAATCACATTATCAATGTAATTGAACAAGGCTTGGAATAATCCATACAACACGACAAGAAGGATACTTGAGTACAAGGAACATATTATCAATGCAATTAACATGATTGGAACATTCTAATTAACACGACAAGGAGAACACATGAAATCAAGAACAAGGCATAAAATCTATGCAAGTAAACAATATTAGAACATTCCGATTAACATGATAAAAGTCATACATGAATTCAAGAATAAGACATAGTTTCTATGCAAGTAGACAAGATTGGAACATTCCGATTAACACGAAAAGAGTTATACATTAATTCAAGAATAAGACACAATATCTATGCAAGTAAACAAGACTAGAACATTCCGATTAACACGAAAAGAGTCATACATTAATTCAAGAACAAGGTACAATATCTATGCAAGTAATTAAGGACGGAACATTTCCTATAACACGAAGGAGTTTTAAAAATTTGAGGAATGTAACACTTGAAATCTAAAGAGTGAAATCAAACAATGTGGAAACTTGGATATCGCCCCAGATTAAAACCGTACTCTTGGGATCACTTTAGGGTTATCAACCCAAGGGTACCTTCTCATATTTTTGGGATTACTTTAGGGCTATCAACCCAAGGGTATCTTCCTCTATTCTTGAGATCACTTTAGGGTTATCAACCCAAGGGTATCTTCCCCTGTACTAGAACCAAGTCCTAACCATGCCAATTCTTGATTGATATCCCAAGTCCCAAAATCAACAAGTTGTGCAAGCCAAGATTGTATTAAAATACAAGAAATGCATTAACCACGTTTCATGCACAACCAAGATTTTGGAACACACAATTCATGCCCTAAGTTCATCAACTATAATGACATGTGAAATGTCAAGAAAATATAGTATGCATCTATATAGATTAGAACCAAGATATATAGCATAAGAAATCCATTGAAGCAAGTATATAATTAGTATAAGATTAATGATTCAATCATTTGTTTGACAACATTTGAATAATTAATTCATTCCAATGCAAGGGTGCAAGTTCATTAACTACATTAATGAAGCTAAGTTGCAAGAAGTCATGATATATGATAAATTGGAAAAAGCCCCATGAATTAGATGTCCAAATCATTAGAACACTAAGTAGAAATTAATTAACATAATTAATTAATTTCTCTAGAAATCAAAGTTTTCCAAAAATTCTCAAAATAACATATGTGAATGTCTATTCCATGGTGATTGCAAATATCACATCAATTTCATAAAGTGAGCAAGATATCATCATGCATAATTTAATTAATTTAAAATTAATTAAATCTCTAGATTTTCAAAGTTGTTCAAATGATCCAAAATTAATATATAACAAGGGTTCAGTCATGGCCACGCCATATATCAAGTCAAAAATGGAAAACAAACATGGTACAATTAAGTAGAATTTAAATCAAATTTAAATAAATTTCTAGATCTTGAACCAAAAGCAAGCATACAAGTTGTATAAACATCAATAGCATGCAAGATAGTAAGAATATAACCTATAACACCCCCTACCTCGATTTGAGATGCAAATCTCAAAAGCCACCAAATGAAAACCGCTCCGAATCCGACGATACCGAAGGGTTTTATCGGGGACAACACGATAAACATAACCCCCAAGGAAGCCCCATGAAAAACACAAGTTGACTTCAAACCCGAACTCAAAATTTGGTCGGAAATGGGTTCTAATAAGGGTGAAAGGTGCGCGGCATCAAGACAAGCATTAAACGTTAAGGCCGAAGACTTTTCACCAAGGAAAAATGGTCCAAAGGAGGAGAGAGACGGTGACAGTCATGGGAGGGAGCTTGGCCGGCCGTGGGAGAGGAAGAAGAAGAGGAAAATTCTGATTTTTCTCTTTAAGTTCCCTATTTATAGAAAAACCTTAAAAGTGCCTCGAAAGGGCCCCGCCGGGTCTGAAAAAGTGAATTTTGAGTAAACGCGCTTAAACAACAAAACTCCATGAACAAAAAAGATTTTAAATGAGAAAACATGAACAACGGAAGAAACGACGTCAAAAACCGAGTACTGAATAGAGAGATATGCCCCGAACAAGTTCGGCGGCAACCGGGGTCAGAAACTCAGAAACTGGAGAAAAACGACCAGAACGGAATTCTAAGAGTACACGACTCGACGAAATATGAAAATAAATTCCGTACGAGGATCCAGCCTTTATATGAGATATTTTTGCAATAACTTTCATTAATTGCACAATGACCCCTCCAAAAAGGGTTAATTGCACTAATGCCCCAGAATGAAAATATCTTCCAAAAATATTTTCTTAGATACCCCTGAAATAAAATATCTTCAAAAGATATTAATGAAAAACACCCCAAGAAAAGAAAATAATTCCAAAGAATTATGCATCCATGTCCCTATGGATACCGGGAGTAACTAGAGTACTTTCTTGCAAAAGTAAAGACACGTATTTTGAGGAAACCACTGAAGATGAAGGTACGTGAAGTCAAAAACTAACTCCGAGCACGAAAAGTGAGGTTTTGCCAAACAAGTGACAAACGGAGATAAGACAGAATAGGGAAAAAGACGAAATAAGGCATAGTATCCGAAAAGTGAAAATGCAAAAATGACTCGATCCTCAAAGGAAGTTGTCAATTCACGGAAAAGAGTCTCATAAATCATTTCTAAACACTCGAGACGACGCTAAGTGACAAGAAACAGAGTTGAAAAAGGAAAATTAAACGAAAAAAATTCATTCGTAAAAATTTCAGGAAAAAAAGAAGAGGAGGTAAATGACCGGTCGTTACAATAATAATGTCATCAACTATCAACCCATTCATTGACGTGGGCCTCTTTCATTCTCATATTCTTATATACTAATTCAATGCCCAATAACCCCCCTCTCTCTCCTGTTGAGAAATATTCCCATCTTCTTCAAGCAAATAAGCTAAAACTCTCTCTCTAACTTTATTTCTTTTTTGCTTTCTATCTCTCCTTTTGCTTTATGAGTTTCTCTTGATGCTTTCATATAGTTCTGTTTCATAAATGGGTTTTTCTCAAAACAATTGCAATAACTCTAGAAAGTCTTTAAATGACCCAATTTCCTCAGATATTTCTTGTTCAGCTACTAATCAGAAGAGTGACTACAATGAGCTAAGAATCAAGAACATATGGAATAAAATAATTTGGGTCCACCTCGTCGGCGGCGAAGCGCTACCGGCGAAGATGAGAGAGAGAGTAATAAGAGTCCCTCTAATTTTAAGCAGAACAAGGCTTGGTTGCTTGCAGAGTCAGGTAGGTGTGGTTGAGAGTTGTCAAATGCTGAACCACAATCGGTTCACTCCCTTTTCAGGTCTGTGTTCACATGGTGATGGCTTTTGGAGCTTGTGGCCAGGGAAGAAGAAGTAAAATAAGGGAAAATGTTTTTTTTAGTTACCCTTTTTAATAATTTCACAAAATATTTTATATATATATATATATTATTAAATGTGTTTCTAAGTGCATTTTAGTCTAATTTTTATAAATAGGACCTATTTGCACAAATGTCATAGTTTAGGGGTGTTTTTTTTTGCATGGGAGGGATGTAATATGCATTGTAAGAATACTATAAAGGTGTTTTTTACACTATGATATTTGCACAAATGTCATAGTTTAGGGGTGTTTTTCTTTCTTTTATTATTATTATTTTTATTTTTTTATTTTTTTTTTGTCGGCAATGCTATTCGGTTTAGACCATCACATTATCAAGTTTATGTTTTTATTTTTTTTAAGGTAAAAAACACACTCACTCACACATTTACTTATCTTTAAAATAATATTTTTATTTTTTCAAGACAAGAAATACACTCACTTATTGCTTCGAATACCTGAAATCATGGACCTTAACCTTTTATTTTGAAGACATGAAAATACCAAAGGAGTCTAAAAAGAAGGCGGGTTCATTTGTAACCTTGTAAATAGGCACTAATGCGAGGTGGGCAAAAGCATTATTGGTGGTTAATATGGAGGTTGAAGAACGAGTGCAATTATTTAAGTGCATTGGGCTGAAATTAGGGGTTGTGACAAAAGCCAAATTTTCATCACAGATTTTACAGGTTGAGAGAATTCCAATCACAACATCATTGGCTAAATCAAATTTTCTTCGTGTTCTTGTTCTTACTTTTCTCCCCTTTTTCCCTTCTCGATGTGGGTGGGTGTGTTGGTATATGAGGTATTCCAACATTTAAATGAAAAATGTGTTTTGGGTCTGGTTGTATTTTAGGTTCTTCAAGGCAAAGTACACGAGTGAAGAAGTGCTTTAAAGAAAAATAAGTTCTAAACATTTGGTTTAATCTTGCAAAGGTTAAACCAAATGTTGTATGTAAACCGGACAAAAAAAAGTTTTTGAAGTTTGGAGACGTAGTAATGAAGCGCTTTAGTAATATTTCGAAGGCCATTGTCACCCGCGTATTTATTCCTTGAAAATTCAAACAAATAACCATTTAATCTCCCAAAGAACCTGATTCCATGATTACAAATCAAATAATGAAATGAAAATAAAAATTCTATTTCATTCTTAGTCTACTAAATATGGTAATAATCATTGAAGGCAAAAAAAAAAAACGTAAAATGGTAGTAATTCCTTAAGATCAATGTAATTAATGTCGTATAACGAAATATTTGATCCAAGATCAATGTAATTTTTAAATACACAATAAAATATTCACATATATACGGTAATTATTATGCTATCCTCTCAGATTAGTGTAATCTACAATTTTATTACTCCGTAATTATTTAGGAAAAAAAAAATTAAAAAAGAAGTAAAGGAAATAAAAACAAATGATCACGATGAAAAGAAGAAGAGGTTAGTTGGCCTGTGCCAACGCCATTTCCTCATCCTCTTAAATGCCACCCCAACATCCTCGAAAATGTAATCCATTTTCTGACCGTACACGTGGATGATTAAAGAAAACGCTCCAACCGTGCCGAGTTAATCACCATTTATGTACGTTAATGGCCGTGTCCAAATCGGTCGCCTGTACTGGTCACAGAATCAGACGGTCAACGTTCGATGATCACACACACTCTCTCTCTACTTAAACCCCCCCTCTCTCCTCCTGCTTTCTCTCTCTATAGTTTGTATTCTATTCACACGGCGCATTGTAGAGAAAATGGTGCATCCTGTGGCGGAGGCGAGCGATAAGAGCCCCTACGGCTCACTCACTCCCGACGAGTTCTACACTCGCCACTCGGTGACTCACTCCTCCGAGTTCATCACAAACCCTCGCGGCCTCAAGCTCTTCACTCAGTGGTGGTCCCCACTCCCTCCGACCAAGGTCGTCGGCACCGTCGAGTTCGTCCACGGCTACACCGGCGAGACCAGCTGGTTCCTCGAACTCACCGCCGTTCACATCGCCAAAGCAGGCTTCGCCGTCTGCGCGATCGACCACCAGGGACATGGATTCTCCGAGGGACTTTCAGTTCACATCCCCGACGTCAACCCCGTCGTCGACGACTGCATCATGTTCTTCGATTCCTTCCGCGCGCGCTACTCGCCGGATCTCCCCTCCTTTCTGTACTCGGAGTCGCTTGGCGGCGCGATCGCGCTGCTCATCACGCTCCGCCGCGGCGGCCGGCCGTACGACGGCGTCGTCCTGAACGGAGCGATGTGTGGAATCAGCGCCAAGTTCAAGCCGCCGTGGCCGTTGGAGCATTTTCTGTCGCTGGTGGCGGCGGTGGCGCCGACGTGGCAGATGGTGCCCACGCGCGGCTCGATCCCGGAGGTGTCGTTCAAGGTGGAGTGGAAGCGGAAGCTGGCGATGGCGAGCCCGAGGCGGACCATGGCGAGGCCACGCGCGGCGACAGCGCAGGAGCTGATAAGGATATGCAGGGAGGTGCAGTCGAGGATGGCGGAGGTGGACGTGCCGTTCCTGATCGTGCACGGCAGCGAGGACGTGGTGTGTGACCCGGCGTGCGTGGAGGAGCTGTACCGACGCGCGGCGAGTAAGGATAAGACGTTGAAGATATATCCGGGGATGTGGCACCAGATGATTGGTGAGCCTGAAGAGGGCGTGGAGTTGGTGTTTGGGGATGTGGTGGAGTGGCTGAGGACCAGGGCTGAACGCGCCGCCGCAGCTGGCGGAGAAGACGGTGGTTCTTCTTAGATTATGCAGCTCTCTATAAGTACAATATAAGTTTGCCTGTGGAAAATTAAAAATTGCAATATTAGTGATCATGCAAATGGGTTTTTGTTTGAAATGCTTAAGCAAAGTACTCAATTTGGCTTAATTGAATTTAACTTTTTCTTAGAATATATGACCCAAAAAAAAATAAAAAATAAAAAGAAAGAGAATGCAATATCTTCAATTGCTAAAGGAATAATACTGCTTTTTATATGTTTTTGGAGAAGGAAGTATATTGGAATATTAATTTATGGAGGCAGAACAAATAAGTGAACCACATTAATCACGAGAGTTTCACCAAATGAATTGTCCAATCTGTCCTCTTGGCAAGTCCTATATAAAAACAAAAATGCAAAATTTAAATTATAATTAATAGTTTGCCCTTTATTTCTTGGGGGTAATGTGGTCATGTTCCTTAGTTTTTCAAGTCAAACGATATGTATTGGAGGAATTTTAAATTATAATAATGGTTTATATGGGTATCCATAATTTAGTATCTTTCCAAATTATTATTTCTTATTATTAAGAAAAATAATGATAATTTGTTAAATGGGATATTATTGTTTTTTAATGATAACATTGAATAATAATAATAGAGTTCCACTTTATGAAATCAAATGAAACTTGGCAAAGACGTAATTCAAATAAACAAAAATGATATGAAATTCAACAATTGAATGAATCTATGTTAAAATTTCTTACTTTCGAACGTTATATCACCACTCTAAATCAAATACCGCAAAAAACTAGACATATAATTTATTCGCTACTTCTACAAGATGTACTAATTATTTATACAAAATCATGAGCAGTGCTAATGAATTCTGCATTAATTTTTAAATTCTTTGTTGTTAGATTTGAAACAATCATTAGGGTTTCTGTAACTCAAAAAATATATTGTTTGAACTGGATTGACATGAGCATTAGTATGGTAATCAACTGAATTTTGTTAGCTCAAGCTCTATCACTATGAATTTGAAGTAAAAAGATTTTAGTCATGGTCGCATGTGCAGAAAGAAAAGATGGATATCATGTAAAGATTAGCCCAACTGCTTAATTATCTTTAATTTTTAATGCTAATCAAATTCAATTTCTTTGTAAATAAATCCTTCAATCTTATAGGTTTAGTCTCCACTCTCATGATTCATTCTTTATTAAGATTAGTGCCATTGATAGTCATGACTATCCAAACCATTCTCAAGTTTTATTTTTATTTATTATTCTTTATTCTTTTCTTCCATCATCCCCGTGACATATATATACACATAAATATATATATATACACATAAATATATATATATATATATATATATTAATGAAAAGATGACAAGGCATGGAATTCTTCAATGATGATGTGGCGAAGGTGATTGGATGATGACTGGGCAGAATTGCTGACATGGCATGTGACTGGGCGATAATGCTATTTTTTTTTTCCTTCTCATTTTGGAATACAAAATATAAAACACATATATAAGAAGCATTAAATGATACAAATGTCTACTTAAATATTTATTTTGATACATGAAATAATATATTTTGTACACTTATCATTCACTCTCATAATTCATTCTTTATCGAAATAACGCCATTGATGATCATGACTATTCAAACCATTCTCGAGTTTCATTAAAAAAAGAAAAATTGTAAGATCTATCCCGTTCAATATATGAGATTGAATTTTGAGACCGTTAGTATCCAAAAGTAGCCAACCAAAATGTGAAAATGTAATAAGAACATGCCACTTGTAAAATTTTGCACTCTAGGAATAAAAAAAAAATTAAAAAAATTGCACTCTTGACTTGTTCTAAAGACACATGGATGAAGTGCATTGCTGTCAATATGCCAGTCCCTAACTAAAAGAACTAACATAGTCCTTTTAACTGAATTCATGAGAGAGAATGACATGGTAAATGACTAAATGGTCCTTGTAATGCATTAGAATTGGTAGGATCAAATCATATTTGTTATGCTTTAGACTTGGTCAGACTAAACCACACGTCTTTAGTTTTTGTCTCTTAACATTTTTGAGAAATGGATGAAATCTTTGGTGAAATGAATTGCAGATTTGGATCTGATTCAATAATGATGAAGCTTCTGAAATCCTCCATGGACAAAGCACACGAAAGACTGAAATCCAAAGACGGTCCTATTGAGCGCTTGAATGAGAAATCAAAATTCTATGAGTTGGCCATAATCCAATTGGAGGGTAGTTTGAAGCTAGTTCAAGAAGAGACAGACAGCTACATTCTCGAAAGCAGCCATGAAATCCTCTCAGACCTCATGGAAATCAAGGACAGGCTTCGCAGACGCCTCAAGGAGACGAAGCTCGCCATTGTCAAGAAAGACGAAGAGCTAAAGGAGAGTTCGGAAAATGAATTCAAGCTAAGACGAGCATTGGCATTGAAAGAAAAAGAGTTAGCTTCTCTTGGCGCCAATTTTGAAGAAGCCGAAAAACCAAAGAAAGAGGGTGCTAATGAAGGTCAAGAAGGGGACATTGGTGAGCTGAAATTCTGTGTGGATCAGCAGGTTTGGAATATCAAGCAAAAGCTTGAGGACGAGAGAATGAATCTAACAAACGAGAATAAGGATGTGGAGCTCAATGGGGATGATGGTTTCGAAGTGAAGTCCCTGAATGTGTCTTTGAGGCCGGAGCAGAACATGGTGATTGAAAGAGTGAGCTCCGACATAGACATTTTGAAAGGGACATTGGATGTTGCCTTTGAGAAGATGCAAAATGCTGAGGTCTTGCCCTTGGAGAAGCAATGGAGGTGCAACATTGAGAAAGACACAGTCTCGATCTTGATCAGAGGCTTCATGGGCGATTTCCAGCAGAATTTCAAAGGGGACTTGAGCAAGAGAGGCAGCCATGGCGCTGTAGGGTTGTTGGACAGTGTGTACTGGCCGGGATTGGTCAATGAGATGACAAGCTTGCGTCGTGAACTTGAGGCCCTTAGTGGTCACAATGAGGTGCAGGTGAGAAAGGCGAAAGGGAATGAGAGTTCTGGCCTTCCACCACGGATCCAAAGAGCAAACAGTGAGCCCTTACTGGAGGTGGATTATACGGAGGATCACCATGAGGAGGACTCGAGAGATGAGAGAAGCCACTATGTTGCGAAGATGGTGAAGAATCATGAGTCCATTATAAGGAAACAGCGCGAGGAGTTGCAATGGCTGAAGAGAGAAATACTCCGAGAGAAGGGACTATCTGGCAAGAGAGACAAGGACCCCAATGGCCTTGAAAGAAGGATCCGAGAAGTGATTGTAAGATTGGACAATGTCATTCAATGGAATCCCAAGTCAGGTAACAAGAAAGGTCTTTATGAGGAGGACAGTTCTCGAGAGAAAAGGATATCAAAAAATGATGTAGCAACAAATGTTTGTGAAAAAGACTTAAATGACAAGATTAGGAAACTAGAACAAGAGACAGATGATTTGAATTTACGAACCACGATCAGGGAAGAAGCTTATATGATTCTGTTGAAAGGTTTGATGAGAGACTTTTGCTTTGAGTTATGTGATTACGACACCATGAGTTTGATAAGGGATGATATTTGTTTACATTTCTTGAAAGAGGAAATATATTACACCCTATGCAGTGAGGCGGTGAAGGAAATCGATGGCCATCTTCATGGCTTCGCCCATTTTGCATTAAGCCAAGATCAAGAGGTCAGAGTTCTGGAAAATTTTCAGGACAATTTCAAATGTGTTAGCAATTTATCCGAAACCATCAGAAGCTCATTGAAGGAAAATGAGCATAGGTTGTTCTTTAGAGAAATGGTCAAGGCATGGAAGATGGAAAGAGATGGAAATGACATTGAGAACCTCATTAGAGAAGAGATATATCAGCTTGTCATTGTTGAGGCAGTGAAGGATGCTAATGTCTTTCTCAGAGAATGTGAAGCCGTGAACAAAGACAAAAAGTTGGACCTGAGTTTAGAGATCAAGGGAGAGGAAAACTCGAACCGAGAACTAAATTCTTTGTTGAGATGTTTCGAAGTGGAGGAAGATTTGATGCTGAGTGCAATATCTGAAATAAAGGAACACAATGCTCAACATGACCTTGTGGGGATGGAATGTGAAGAGCCAGAGCGCGTCACCATCGAATGGTTGTTGACAGAGGAGGTGAGCACTTTCAGTTCAGTGAGTAGCAAGATAGAGAAGGCTCTACAACAGCTGATTAAGAGCAAGACATTATTGAGAGAGTTGGGAGGCATAGCAGTTGGTGACTTAGAAAATGTTCAAATGGGCATTGCAGATAGCAAAAGTCACTCCTTTTCCCAACCAAAAGACAATCAAGTTGTGCAATTCTCACCAGTACTAGTGGACTTGGATCAAATGGTACAAGAAAAACTAGAAATAAATTGTTTGAGGTAATCAACTTTTCATGACATTTTTGTACGGTCATAGACTTGGGATATCATATTTTCCATTCTTCACACGTCTCCAAACAGCCTTTCCTAATGGGAAGGTAAGGGTTACATATATCAAATCCTCCCCAGACACCTTCGAGTGGCAGGAGTCTCACCTTCTATATATCCTCAGAAAAGTTTGGCTGGAGTTTCGTTTATTCTTTATTTCGGAAATATAATTTACATGTGGAATAATCAATCCTAATCTCTTTCAGGTTGGAAGAAATGAAGCATCAAGTAGATCAGCTTGTTCAAGTTGTGCCAGTACTGAGAAAAAGGGAATTGCTTTACAGGAAGGCTTTTGTGAGAAGATGTCATAATCTAAAACTAGCTGAAACTGAGGTTTGTTTATTTATTAGTCTTTCCCTCCCACAAAAATGCAATTTGGACTCTGATGATCAAATTCACATTTCAGCTAATTAGATACATGAAATTATAATTATTTCGTCAATTTTACATTTCATCTAATTAAATAATTGAAATATTGTTGTACATGAATTTGTGTTGGGAAATAGGTGGATTTGCTAGGTGATCAAGTGGATGCACTTCTAGGACTACTTGAGAAAATACACTTGATATTGGAGCAATATTCACCAATATTGTCGGGCTACTTTAAGGTGAGCAATGCTAATTATGCAAGTATTTAAACGTGTATGTTGATTTTTTAAGTGGTAACTGTCACTCGAAAATGATAAATGTTCCGAATCGGTATAATTATCGACAGATGTGTCTTACCGACAGATATGTCCATTGTTGATTTGAACACTCTGAAAGGCAAGTCTTTATCAATCACTAATTAGGAATTCTTATTAGATATTGGTGATTGGAATAGTGGTAAAAAAACCGAACAATAAGTATAGCATTGCTCATTGTCACTTGCACATGCAGTGTTTTTATTTTTGCCCTCTCATTTTCTTTCTTGTTCTTGTTCAGGTTGCAGACATCTTAAAGTTGATCAAGAAAGAACTAACTCATGGAGCTTCACACACACCCTGTTAGTGAAATGAAGATGATGTATTTTTGTACTCTACAGTTAAGGATGGGATTATGACTCTGTAGATAAATAATTTTTTTTTTTTACAATAGTATTTAACCTCCGTATCTTCAAAGAAAAGGAAAGAGGTTCGAGCTCTAGGTGTGAGCAAATCGCATGGTTAAGCGAGGGAGGTTGTTTTTTATCAATGTAAAAAATAATAATAATAAAAATAAAAAAAATCAGAAATTTATTACTACCAAGGACTTAGCACAAGTGATATCTTCCAATCTTTTCGGGTACCATACTGAAAGTTAAAATAAAATATTGCTACTTGAATTGATTGAAAATATAGTTACTTATCTTTTTCTCATGTATTATTCAAAAAAAAATTGCTTTAACTTTATCAAATATCATATCATAGTATAATAAACAATTTAATTTTCGAAAGGCAAACAAACATTATAGCTATTTGAATTCAGTTTGAATCCATTATTCAAATTAGTAATGGAATTTAAACTTGATACAATTATTTAAGATGCAACATATTTAAATTCAAACTCAATTCTCAATATTAACAATTAGTTCATATTTAAATGTGGCCCGATGTCATAGTGGAATTGACTTGAAGGACTACTTAAATTTCTTCCTTAAAAATTATACTAGGGAGTAGGATAAAAAGAGAAGAGGAAGAAGTGAAAGGACAATGCGTGCCTTCGGCCACATAAGAAGGAACTTCCTTCTTATGATGAGGTCGGCCAATAAAACATCAATAAGTGTTAAAGTTCTAAAATAAAAAAAAAAAAATTATGAGGACTGGGAATAAAAACTGATCCTCCCTCTTTCTCTTTCACATATCTATATATATATATATATATATATATATATATATGTCTGTCCATGGCTGCCACCTCCACTGTCCGCCCATGGCCAGCTAGAGTTTTAAAACCCAAATCCTTTCACCAAATCCACCATATGATTAGGAAAAAACCATATGATTAGGAAAAAATAAAAATAAAATTCACTGCACGTGTATGTAATTCATTTCCTTCCATCATCATCTTCTTTTACAACAAACCCACATCTTGATTTCAATCGATCCCAACAATCATTGTTAGTTGCCAAACTCAAGACCAAGTCCTCGCCTACAATTTATGGGTTCGTTCTCAAGATATGATGCTCTCAATGGAGAAAGACGATGTAAGGAGGAGGTTTATTGGGCCACCTCATCATAAGGAGGAGGTTTCTTCTTATTCAGCCTAAGACAAACATTATTCGAAGTGAAATATACTATACTCAATATCTAAATATTATACATTAAAGTATTTAATAATATATAATTAAAATATTATATAACATATCATGTTAAATTGGATTATTATCGGAATTAGATTGATTATAATTTATATTCGATTTGATTAAATATTCAAAATTAGTTGCATTTGACATATATAAATTCGTAGGTGTAGTTATATATATAATTTTTTTACAATGATATATATAAATTTTTAATCTTGTTGATGTAACGTAAATACTTTTTAAAACTATTTTATAAATTTATAATATTTTTATTTTCTCTAGAAAGTTCAAATTTTTTTTTTTTTTTTAAAATTTATTTTATATAGTTCAAAAAAAACTTATACAGTAATAATCTATGGGACACGTTACTAGGGGTAAATTTGTCATTAGATAATCCTCGTCCCTCGGTAATGTTGTCACGACAATTTATCGATCATTCAGCATCTGTTTCAAATCGGAGTCTGAAGAGCACAAAACCTCAATCTCGCTGAATTTCACTGACCAAACACCACTTCTGTAGGTTCGTTTCTCTCTCTCTCTCTAGGTAGATCATGTTCTTATCTCTCTCTATATAGGTTTGATACCATATCTTGCTTCATGCTTTCAGTTCATTGGATTAGATCTTCAATCCAGGGTCGCTAAATTTTTCTCGATCTATTCTGCTACTTTAATTTTGTTTTCTTGTGTTGGTTTAAGTTGCTGAAATACTTGACTGTTATCTGCATTTTGTTTTCCCCAAAGTTAATGAACTACTAATAAATCATAGATATTTTTTCCTCCTCTCTTTTGGGTTTGATTTTAGAGCTGATCTGATACTTTCAGTCAAAGGGTCTCTGGGATGACTTCGAATTTTATATTTTTGGATGTGGGTATAACTAATTTGATCTAGATTTAAGGGTTTAAGTTGTTGATTATGATGTTGTGTACTTGTTTGTGCTAATTACAGAAATTTTACCCCCTGAATTGGGGTTTAGTCATGAATGATCACATATTCACATGTAGGTGGTTTTTATAGAGACGATGATTGTTGGATCCATATGATGTTCTTCGGAATAAATTTCACAACCTTAGTTCAGGAACTCAAGTAAAATCACCAAGTTCAATCTATATTTAGATTGTTAATTTTTTGGATTTTAGAATATCTTTTGGAATTTTGTTTCGACTACTTCATATTATCAGTATGTTTTATCTTGGATTTTTATTTTTATTTATTTATTTTTTTGGTGGTAAAAATACATTTTGGTTGAGGAGAATCTGAGAGTGGCCCTCTACTTTGCTCTTGTTCAGGTTTCATTTGGCTACTAATTTGTTTTAATGCGTTTGGATAAATAATTTTGCGTTTCTACTCTCTGTTGGTATCTTTTTTGTTGGTTTTGGCATACTTGTAGCCCCGAAATTTCTTATTACTGAAGCTTCTTGATCATATGGGTGTAACCTATTGTTTGAGAACCATGCAGATGTATATGTTTCATTAAGTTCTGTTTTTTTTTTTTTTTTTTGTTTGTCTTATGTTCCACCAACACAGCTGTTTTGATTTGACCACTGGAACAAGTTATTTGTTTTAAAGGATTAAAAAACTAGGAAAAGAAGATAATTGTAAAAAAAAAAAAATACATTTGTCACTGCTGGGATTTAAAACAAGAAAAAGAAAAGACGAAAGTAGAACAAAAGCATCATGAAAGAGAAAGACAAAAATATTTGAAAAAAAGGGCAGTCTCTTTATGAGAAATATTGAGATCATTGACAATATTGGGGGCAAAAAAGAAACCAAAGAAATTAATTCCTCTTCATTTCCCCCATTTTTGGAAGAAATTTTTGTTTGTGGGCTTTGAAGGAGAAAACCTTCCCTCTCAATTCTCTTGCAATTTCAATTCCTCTCTTCCTTCTTTCAAGTTTCAGAGAGTCTATCCATAACTCTCTTATACTTCTTCTGTTTCCTTTCTTTAATGTTTCCTTTTCATCAAATAGACAATTAGAGATTCACTTTCTTTTTAGGAAGGTGACAATTTGAGATTCAGGTGGTGAGAGGTATGAGGGAGAATGCTCTTGATGGAATAGTTAATGGGTTGTCAGGCCCGGTTACTAGTATGAGCGTTTTATATATATGTCACTTCAATCAATTAAATTCTTAACACTCTCCTCCATTCTCCTTGTCTTATGTTATTCTCATTTAATATATATATATATATATATATATTCCTTGTTCTCATTTAATATGCATTATTAGGCATACATTTAAGTAGCATTGAATGTAAAAGGAAAATTTGGGTTTTTTTTTTAGGGAGAATGCAATATGAGCCAACCTGAATCATATACAATCTAAAACCATGATTGAGGTATATGGTAAAAAGAAAAAGGGAAAAGAAAACATAAAATGGACACCGGGAATTTCTTCAGCACTTTACCTTTCTTCCTAAGCTGCCGTGTTCCCAACATCTCTACTAAATTGGACATAATCTTGAAGACTTATTGGAAATCATTATCAAATTTGTGCGTGAAAGGCCCTCTTTTTTGCAAGACATGCAAAAAAGTGACAGCTTCATTCAATTTATGCATATTATATGAAACCAAAGTACTTCCAAAACAGAATCTCTTTTTTCAATTTATGCATATTATATCTTTTAAGGTCATTATAATAGTACTGTACGTAGAAACTCTCACAATTATGTTAATGTGGGAAGCATCTTGTTTCCATATTCTCAAGAGTTCTTTTTGATCTAATCAATCATATCATATATTTCAGGGTTGCTGCTTTAGTACCTTTCAACAACTATGGAAGGCAGCAGGGCCCAGAATGGTATTCAACTATTGCTAGCTGCTGAACAAGAAGCTCAGCAGATTGTTAATGCTGCAAGAAATGGTGAGGGCTTTCCTTTTCTTTGATATCCTTGTTTCTGTATTTATTCTAATTGTCGTGAAACTATGTTTGGGAGCACCGAATTGGCATCTTGGATTTGGAATTAAAGAAAATTTAGTTAAAACTTTGAACTAAATTTGTTCCCATTCCAAATCCAAGGCACCAATTCGGTGGGTCCCAAACGCAACATGATTGATTTTTACATTTTCATACTGAGGACACTTGGAATCCTTTGGAAATTATATGACATTGGTTGCACAACTCTAGTATATTAATTCCCATAAGAAAAAAAAACTCTAGTATGTTGTTGGGATGATTATTATCGTATCATTGCTCTTCAATTTCTCATTTCCATGGTATATAAAAGGTTTTGAAATTTTCTTATGATGGAGAACTAATTATAGTCTCTTAGGGTGAGGAGTTCTTAGTGTGTGCATTGGTGCACGTGCATATAGACTGTGTGTGCACGCTCGCATGTTTGAAAATGAGGGGAAGATGTTAATATATTTGTGAGTGTCTCTTTGTGTCACGTGGATTTTTGGTCGAATAACAAGTCTGTGAAATCCCAACAGTTGGATCTCTGTGAGATGTCTACCTTTGCTTATGCAATTGGGTCTATTTGTTGCCAATCTTGAGATTCCACACTGAGACAGGTTAGGTAACCGGAGCCAGATGTAACTCTCTACTCAATTCACAATAGTATATGTGCCTTCGTGACTTTAATTAACCACATGAACCTTTCCAGTTGCATATATCTGTAATAATTTCATTTAGAATAATTTAAGACATTTGAGCATTCCATAGAGGCACAAGTAGCCGCGCAACTTATTACCCATCAAATATTACTATGTTCATAAATAGGCCAATAAACACATTTTGTTGCATGCAGTCTTGAGGTTCAAACCACACTTTGGCCAGAGCATGTCAAAAAAAAAAAAAATGCTGACTTTCAACATCTTAAATTGTAATTTGTTAGGAATACAGACAAATAATAGATATAGTTTCAAGATAAATCTGTAATACTATGATTTACTTATCCGAAAAAAAAAAATAAAAAAATAAAAAAAAAAATCTGTAATACTATGATTTAGGGTTTTGGGGGTGCTCCTCTTCTCTCTGTCTCCAGGCATATCCTCCTCTTCTTCATCATTGACTGGTCTGTGCGGTTTTGGTTTTGGTTTTGATTTTATTTTTTGCTGTTTTATTTGATTTCAGAATTATCGCACAAAGTTCTTCTTGGGAATCTTCTTATCATATAAATTGTTGAGAAAATGATTTCTAGGATTTTATCTGTGCGTATATCAAACCAAACATCAATCCTTTCTGCTTGAGACTTCTCGGCTTTTCAGATAGAGTTGTTCTCCAATGTTATAGGATGACATTTACCTCCACTATACTCTGATGTTACTTATAAAAAAAAAAAATAGGGTTTAAGATAAATCTACATGCATACTTGTAGATTGCATGACTACACACTTGTGGATATCTAATAAGCATGAATCTTTTGTGGACTGCAAAAGTAGGACACAAAGAATATGTCTTGTAAATTTCATATTGCTTTGGTAATATGAAGGTGTCGTATTGGTTGAATTACGGATTCTGATGACTAACCTGGGTTGGTTTGTTTTCAGCAAAAATGGCTAGGCTAAAACAGGCCAAAGAGGAGGCTCAGAGGGAAATTGCTGAATTCCGTGCTCAAATGGAAGCTGAATTTCAGAGAAAGATTGCAGAGGTAATAATTAGAAATGAAAAGAGAAAGAAAGAATGTCTTCATCAAAATCAATTCATATGAGAGCTGTATTAGATTTAATGTACTCGCTGCTTCTAGTTTCTTTATCCTACTCCAAGTGATTGGTGCGTTTCCAAACTAAATTTTCTGCCTAATTTTAGAAATTGTTCACCATGTGGCTTTTTTCTCCATGTTATGTTGGTAAAGAATTTTAATTGATATTAGCCCCTGCATTACTTGTTTTATTCATATAGTAACTAGTACGCACTTTTTTGATTAACAGAGCAGTGGAGACTCAGGTGCTAATGTGAAACGCCTTGAAAAAGAAACAGACACGAAGATTCATCAGCTGAAAATAGAGGCTGCGAGAATTTCCCATGATGTTGTCCTGATGCTTCTGAAGCAGGTGACATCGGTAAAGAACTAGGCTCTTTAGTAATGAGCTGAGCTGAGCTGATCTGATCGTCTGGAAACTTACCTTATGCCTGTTTTTTTCCCTTGTATTAAAACTTGGAGTTCCTGTGCTTGGTGAGAATAAATTACTTCTCTGTATCTTATTATATTTATTATTCGTATTGGTTTGATTGTGCCCTAGTCAAATATAACAATTCAATGTGTGCTCTCTTATATATGTGCTCAACACAAAGGTGCTTTTAGTTGGACAGTTTGTAGAGAAGCAGTGCTCTCTTTGTGGTCATGGAAAAACCAATTTCAAGAATTTGTTTAAGCATCAGAAAATTTATATATAATTACTGTGGAAATAGTCTAAAAGCTAGTTATTCTAATAAGTGATGGGAAAAGATGATATATAAATGTTTGCACAAAGTAGAAGCAAGTGCCAGTGATTCTGTCTCTGCCAAAGAATGTATAGAGAGATCAAGCTGCAGAAAATAATAATTGATTGTGAAGATTTATATACATTTTGATGCCACAACAAAGGGCATTTTGTTTTTCATGAAACTATTGTATTCATTAGGGATGCAAAAATGAGAGGTCTTGAAGTAATTGCTCCATCACTATCCCACAAGCTAGTAGTCCTACCCCAACAAGTGCAGGCCTTGCTGTTGAAATTGTGTTCTGATCTGTATCTATACTCTCTGTGTTGTGCATTGCCCATGCCATTGCTGGTGGAAGAACTCCATATAGCATTGTCATACAGTAACCTCCCTACACCACATTTCAAGCAACTCTTTTGTCACAAACAATAGGATTATAGTAGTTTGATTTTGTGTGTGTGTTGTGTGTGTGTAAAAGCCATCAAGATTTTGTTTAGGCTTGAACAGGGCAACAAACATTCGAACAAAGCTTACTGCTATATCTGTCGCGGTAGAGAATGCATCAGAAACTGTCGATGACACAAAGAGAGATGGAGCCACGACCATTGCTGTTGCCGTGAGCCCAATCCTATTTCTTCCCCACCATCTTCTTACACCGAAGACCTTGTTTGGTTTCTGTTATTTCAATACATCTAATGTCACTGTTACCATTTGTTTAGACATAAGAAATGGTACAAGTAATGTTCATGAAGGACTACTTTTAATCAGACCTAAAGCTAAAGGACATGAAAGCTACCTGAAACATTTGTGTGGTGGGAGAATTCCATGAAAGATTAAGTTGCTCCCTGAAGAACTGAGAGAAGCTGAGGAGAGTGCCGATCATTGATGTCCCAATTGCCAGAAGTGAGAAGGCTTCTACCATAAACGAAACCCCGGTCCATCTCACACTACAATATTTATACAGAAAATATTGTGAATGAATTGGTAATAAGAATGAAATTTGGCTACATGAGTTGTGCCTTTGTGCAGTGATATCGATGAACAATTGCACATTTTTTTGTATGATATAATAGATATTTTCACCCAAAACACACACACACACACATTATTGTCTAGGCATTGTTAAAAGCTATGTACTTAAAACTTGTTTATTGTATGGTTGGTTACTAACTGATTTGAATTCTAATTGTATCAGCTAGATTTTTTTATTTTTTATTTTTTATTTTTCAAAATTTAGATAAGATAGATTGATCTGATTGAGGTACCTCATGAGCAGTTCAACAGGATCAGTAACTTGATCAGCCTGAGCCGACAGTCCAAGCGCGATTGCATCCCAAACAAGCAAAGCTAACAATGGCACAACACTGCCAAGCAAAACTGAAGTCCTTATACGCTTAAGATCGCCTCCTAGATAGGCACAAAGAACTGCAAAAAACCGAAGATCATTTATAAGGCATTGTTTACATTGGTTTGACAAAATTTTGAAGAGGAGAATATGAAGAATCGTCGTCTTTACCGGGCGCTAGATCATGATAGACCAAAGAAAAAATCATCACAGGAATGGTTGCTGGAACTTTTCCCCAGTCACCACTGCCTTCCAGTCCTGACCATCCACCAAACACGACAGCTAGAACCTCAATTCCTAGCAGCAAACCTGTTCCATCAAATAATTTGTACATTTTAGTCATTACCCATTATATATCCCACCTAACCTTGTGCTAGGAGGGGCAGACTAAAGACAGACCAAGGGTCTGCTTGGTTGAATTTTCTGAAAATAGTTATCAAGAACTCATAAAATAAGAAACTGTTTTCACATAACCGTCTTTTATACATAAAACTGAACCGAACATAGTTTTTCTACAGTTTTATAGATTTTCAAGAAAACTAAGCATGCCCTTAACCTTTAACAGCTATAAAACTAGAACTCATAACATGATACGACGTGTGTCAATCTGAGCTGTTACCATTGTACTAAGCAATGACCCTAAATTGCCGCATTCATATTTTATTAAAGTAATACCTAACATGGAAGCGGTTAGCCATTGGTTGACTTGATCCGTGGTTCGTGTCCCTCCAACCGCGATAAGAACAGTGAAGAGGGCTGTGAAGAAGATCCCTGAGATCGACTCAGGAAGGTTGATCAAATGGTAAAGGATCTGACCTGACTTGGAAGCATAAGCAATCATAGAAGTGTAACCCAAGAAAACATAGGTCACAGTGGCCAATGTTCCACCCCACTCTCCTAGTGTCTCTTGGGCCATGGTTCTGATTGAAATAACCTCCAATTCATCCTCTTCTTCTCTATTTATCTTCTGTTTCAGCAAACCAACATTGATTTCAACTAGCAAAAGTGCTTCAATCAAAAGAAAAGCCCAACAGATTGTCAGAGATATGGAACTTGGAAGTAGTCCCTGCAAGTGTAAAAGAGAGTTCATTAAACAATCCTGAAACATTCAAAGTGTCTAAGAGATAGAGGTGAGTTGATTAGGGTCTATTTGGTTCAGTTTTCGAACTGAAAATTATAAAAATGTACAAAAGCTTGTTTGGTTATAGCTTTGCTGTTAAAAACTTTATGTTTTCGAAGTTAGAATTTTTTATTTTTATTTTCTTATTCCTTAAAAACTGTTTTCAAAAAACTGAACGAACGGGACATACTCTTAGATTTTTCATAGGTAAGCATTTTATGGCCCTAAGTGTATATTTTGTCCAATTATTAACATGGTTACTTCAACATAAAAAAATAAATAAAAAAATAAAAATAAAAAAATAAAAATCATGAATATTACTGGTAGGAAAAGAGTGTTTTAGAGAGAGTGAAATTACAGCAGGGGAAGTTTTCTGGGGGAGGGCAAGAATCCCAGAACCAATACTGGTTCCAATAATTAGCGCGACTGCACCGGCAACAGTACCCTTTTTCTTGGATACCTCGGGAGGCTGCTCTCTCAAATTTACTATGGTTTTTCTCGTCTTTGTTTCATATACTTTCCAAGAATGTGATGTATTTTTTCTATGTAAATTGTAGTATGCACAAGCAAAATAGGTGCTGCAAAAGTATAGAGAAATATATCAGTTCTCTCAGATATGAAGAGAAAGCAATTAATGGAGAGAGAGAGAGAGGAGTTACATCATACATCCTGGATTTGAAGCAAATTATGTTATTTTGTTTATGACTTCTAGTCCATGATGTATTTGACTTTGGATTTCTGTGGCTCTTTACTTGCAAAGAGCAAGAGGGAGGCAAGTATTGTATATCCATACCTCTGTGTGTGTGTGTGTGAGAGAGAGAGAGAGAGAGAGAGAGAAGGGGGGAGGGGAGATTTGTGGGAAGGAATGGACGGGATACGAGTTTTCGCCAAATATCTTGGGGTGGGCCCTAATAGAATAATGTAATTGGTAAGTGCCCAAAAAGTTCTCAACCATGTGGAAATGAAGCACTAATACTATGAAAGATCTCTTTGAATTCGTAGTGACTTGAAGGCTAGCTTGCTTGCTCGAATGCTTTGGAAAGCCCCTTCCTTGTTGACTTCAATGTTGTGTTTGTAGGAAGGAAATAAAAGGTGTAAAGAGAAAATAGACTTTCTTTGTTCAGCAGAGATAATAAACGAAAAGAAAAAAGGCAAGTGGATTATTTTATAACTTTTAAATAAAATATTATCTCAAAATTATACATGTTTTAAATTATAATACTATCATTTATAAAGTACAATATTATAAACATTATTGGATGTAATGATAAAAATAATTAAAATTTTCCCTTTCTTTTTATCTCTTATGCTATGATTGGTTGGAAGGAAAGATGAGGGGTGGAAGGAAAATTTCTTTCGTTTGGTAGTGATGATATAAGGAAAGAAAGGATAATAGGAAGGAAGAATCATTCTTCCTTCTTCATAAATTTTCATCCCTCTAAATATGAGCGGGAAGGTAGGAGAGAAACAAGTGATCCTATTATAGAAGTTTTAAATTATTACATCGACCTTCATAAATATTTAATAAATTCCATAAATAAAGTAAGGGATGGGTTTAATGATAAAAATAACTTAAAAATCCTACCGATCAAATTAAATTATCAATTTTTTTCATTTTCTTCCATCTAACCGAACAAATACAAAAAGCGGAAACGCTTAATCTCTTCAGTCATCAATGAAATACACAATCTCATTCCCTAAGAATGTCTCATTCCCCCATTTTTCTCTCCCTTCCGTCAAATTTTTATTTTTATCCTTCCTGCCGAACATAGCATAAGGACTTGGAGGTGGTTTTGGAGAGAAAGGGAGGTTCTTCTTGTGTGATGGAGGGAAGGCAAACATGGGGGGTGTACATTGAATATCCGAAGAAGACTTGAGAATTCATTATCTAGTATATCTTTCTTTGAGAGAGAACTCGTAGTGTGGCTTTCATTGTACATTTGTCCAAGAAGAGACACCATTGTATTGAGCTGATTGTATATCTCTTTGAGAGAAGATTGTATTGAATTTCAGTGTGAGCCAACCCCTGTGACCTTACTGAAAGTTTGAGTGAGTGCTACTCCTCAACAAGTGAGAGGTGATTTCTGAGCCTAAGAAAAGAGAGTGTAAATGATGGTCTTGAGCTTGTGAAAAGGACTAGTGTCAAGGTTTCTTCTCTACACGGTAAAGAGCAGAAAGATAGTAATAAAAATTGTGTAGGCAGGTGTCGAACCTTAAAAATTAATGTGTTCATCGTTTGCAATTTCTCTATTCTTTGAACTCCATTTCTGTTGTGAATTGCAAACACTGATTTGTGCTTAATTTGTTTCATTTCCATTATATTTGCACAACTTAGATCATTTCGTTTTCCCTGGTTACCATACCTAGATTTCTATCTTCAGACTCTGCCTTGTGCTAGAAAACAGAGAACCAAATCCATCCTTAGCCACACACAAACATCCCCTTAGACCAATTCTATTTTGTGTAGCCAACCTAGCTTCAGTCTCTAGAAATTTTTAAGCTTGCCTAAAAACTCATTTCACCAATATTTTGATCTAGAATCTTTCAATTGGATCGGTTTGATTTCAAAAAATACCAAAACCGATCCCAATCCAATCTGAGTTGTGGGGTAGAGGAGGGAGTGTGTTCCAGCTCGTAAAAAATTCTCTACTATTGCATTTTTTTTAAAAATTTTTTATGCAAGTTAGAAGTTAGATTAGCATGTGCAAATAGTTGAAGCCTTACACTCCAAAATTCACTAGAGGCACTTTACTCAGTAGGCTACTGAGACATCTACATCTCTCTACTATTACATGGGAACATGTTCATCTTGGAAGTATTTTTTTCTTCCATTTTTATTTATTTATTGGAGCTTCCCACATTCCTTTTATTGAGCATAATGATGCAAATCGGGTTTTGAAGCAATTAATTAAGTTAGACAACGGTAGGGATGGCAACGAGGCGGGTTAAGGATGGAGTTGGATAAACCTTACTCTATCCAGTTGAGAAATCATCCGTACCAACTCTGCCCCTACTTTGGGGTGAGTTTTAAATTCGTATACCATTCCAGCCTCCACGGGGTAAACCTAGTACCAACCCGGCCCCTACTCCGGAATTAATTCGTATAGGCGAGGTAAATCGGAAATCGAATACTAACTGCACCGTTTAATTTGGAGGTGAATGGCTTATTAATAAAATCATAAGCAAAAAATAAATATCAATGCTTGCAAAAATATAAACAATGAACAAATAAATTAAAAACATTGGCGCACGCATACGTGTGTGTATACATAGAGTCATGATCCCTTGCCCCCATGGAGCAAGAAAATTAATCCACACTAATCTAACAGTCATTCTCCAAACCAACTATTTAATTTTACCATTAAGGTAATTACCAAAATAATAATAGAAATCTTAGAAAGAAAAATAATACTAGTATATATTACTAAAATTTTATTTTATTTTTTATTGTTGCCGGTGTTCAATAGTATATGGTTTTTTTACAAGTTCACATTCTAAAGTATAAGTAAATTTATCAATAAATATACTGTAATGTTACATTTTAGAATATCCAATTGATACATTGAAATTAAAATTGGAGAATTTTTCATTTAAAGTTTGAACAAAATTTATTTTTATTTCAATTTTAAGAGTCTCAGTTCTTAAATTTTCAGACACTTGAAAGATATAAATAAAGAAGAGGGAACCAAAAAATAAATTTAGGCATAAACGTTTTTGAGTATTTATGCCAAAATAAAAATAAAAATAAAAACCTTGAGAACTGGCCGGTTAAATAATTCATCGAAATCCGGGCAAGCGTTTGTATTGCTTGATCTCGTATGTATATGTGTATATATCGTCTGCATAGTTTGATTACGGTATTTTTTTTCTTGATTTTTGATTTAGGAATTGAATGATCGATCATCCGAAATGGTTCTACACCTACTTTATTTTTGTTTTTCCTTTCACATACACATAAGCACACTTAAACATACATTTTTCATTTTTTTTTGTATTGCTCTATCTTATTTGGCGTGGGTTTAAGATTTGTGGGTGTGTGTCTATATATATATATATATATATTCTTAATATTTTTTATTTTTTGTTCACATAAAAAAAACTCATTAAAACATAATAATTCATACCTCATTAATAATATAGATAAGGAAATATAAATGTTTATGTTTTTAATTGCATGTCTCTTGAAATTCATACGTTAAAAATAAAATATAAAAAAACCATATGTATACTATATAATATATTTGTATAAATATCTACATTGTACAAATAAATAAATTCATATGTATACTATATAATATATTTGTATATAATTTTATGTTTTTAATTGCATGAGTTACATTTATTGAAATACCCACTTAAAATAATAATAAAAAAATCCATACAAAAAAATTCATATGTGTACTATATAATAAATTTGTATATATATCTACACTGTACATATGTTTTATTTTTTACATTTTAGATAATTTTTTATGCTTAATAGTCAAATAAAAAAAATTGCTTTAAATGTTATAAAAATAATTTTTATGTTTTTATTTGCATGAGTTACATTTATTGAAATACCTACTTTAAAAAAAAAAAACACCCATATGTAATTTCTTAACAATTTTTATTTTTTTTAAAAAAGTATTTTGTATATAATAAATCATTTTCATTAAAATTTATATGAAATTTTTTATGATTTTTAATTGCATGAGTTACATCTCTTGAAATACCTACTTAAAAAAAAATAATAAAAATCCATATGTATTCTATATATATATATATATATATATATATATATATATATATATATATATATTTGTGTATAAAATGTTAAAGTAGGTATTTTTTTTTTTTCATATAAATTTTTTTATTAAAGCATAATAATTCATACATCATTAATAGTATAGGACAAGGATATATAAATGTATATATTAGATAGCACCAAATATTTTATGAAAAAAAAAAAATTTGAGGGAGACCAAAAGAACATTTTTTATTTTATTTTTTCACATAAAAAAGTTCATTAACATCTCATTAAATAACCTTATGATTCATACCTCATTAACATTATTTATTTATTTATTAATAAAAATTCTAAGAACGTCTCATTAAATCATACCTTCCCAAAAATTACCTAATCCACAATATTCCAAACAAAAAAATAAAAGAAAAGAAAAAAATGCCATTTTTTAAAAAAGTTTTAGCTTCCCAAATTTTTTTTAAAAATTGCCCAAAAATTCTAGAGCCTAATCCACAATAGTCCAAACTTCTAAAATGTAAGCCCCTTTTCATATTTCTTAGCATTTATCATTTTTGTCAAATCAAATATAAAAGAGGTCTTTGATTATTATGAAATATTTTTTCATTAATACATTAATTTTTTTTTTTAAAATTGTTAACTTCTATTCGGTTTGGAATTCTAAAAGGTTTTTTTTATTATTATTATACCGTAATTGTTTACTCCTTCCTATTCAGTTTGGAATTCCTAAATACATCAAATTAATCACATTATTTTTTTTTTCCTGAATTAATCACATTAAAAAGATAAATTATAGAATAAGGACAATATATATATATATATTTACCGTTCTCTCTCTCTTCTCCAATTGTCCGCCATTGCCAAAATCATCTGTGCAGAGAATGTCAATACAAATAAATAAACTAGTGAGAGTTGTTTGCTTTTTTCGAATCTCTTATTTGGTTTAATTCAAAGTGATGAATTTATATATTCAACTATTCTATAATTAGGCGTGGTGATGATAAAAAAGATCGTTGAATTTCATTTAGATATATCAACAAATAAATATTGTACTTTATTGTACTTCATGGAGCTGTAGCACTTCTTTGACTAGGAGTATACGT